TTTTTAGCATGTGTATCATCATATAACCTGTCATTTCTTTCAAGAATCAAGTCAAAACAGTTCAAATTTTCTCAAAAGTGTAAACACTTTGAAATTTTGGACTGCTGTTTGATTTTTTTTAGATTGGGGGAAAAAAGGAAGGCTATTTTGGATCATGAATGGGGCCTTGCCTTTTTTTGGCCCCTGGTGACAAGGTGAAATTGCCCTGAATGTATAAATTTAAATGTACAGGAAAATATATAAAACACATATAGTAAAAAAAAAATTTCTAGTCTGTTTATTTGTCTGAAAGAACTATTGACCATTTTATGGAGACAAAACATAAAATGTTGACTTTTGGAAAGCTAAAGGACTGTACTGTAACTTATAATAGCAAAGAAATGTCTGGGTCAAAATTTAGAACTACTCCATGTAAAAATGACTGAAGTTGAAGTTACATATCTGATACAGACCATTTTTGCAATACAACATTCTGTTTTAAATTTCTTTTAGTTGAAATTAGTCCTCAACTCACTTCTACTTCATAGACCAGTTTGAATAGTTTAGTTTTTAGTAAATTTATGAGAGATTGTTTGTTATTAGCTCACCAGAACCGAAGGTTCAGGGTGAGCTATTAGTATCAAAGGGAGATGCCCGGCGTCTGTCGTCATGCTTCAACAATCGTCTTCTTCTCTGAAACTGCTGGGCAGATTTACTACAAATTTGGTCTGTAGCATCCTTGTGACAATCGTCACTATTGAAGTTGCTCATGTCATTTCAATTGGCCCCTTTAAGAGGTCAACAGAGCTAAAAATAGAAAAACCTTTAAACATCTTCTACAGAACTAATGGATGGATGATCCCCAAACTTTGTAGCATTCTTAGGTAGTCTTTTATCAAGTTTGCTCATATTAATTTGATTGGCCACTTTTGGGGGCTGCTAAAGTTAAAAATCGAAATACCTTTAAATGTCTATTTCTACAGAACTAATTGATGAATGATCACAAAACTTTGTCTGTAGCATTCTTAGGTACTCTTTTATCAAGTTTGCTCATATTAATTTGATTGGCCCCTTTTAAGGGTCTCTAGGGCTAAAAATAGAAAAACCTAAATCATCTTCTTCTACAGAACTAATCGATGGAAGATCACCAAACTTTGTCTTTAGCATTCTTGGGTAGTCAAATATATCAAGTTTGCTCATTTTAATTTGATTGGCCCCTTTTAGGGGCCGCTTAAAAACTAAAAAAGGAAAAACCTTTAAACGTCTATTTCTACAGAACTAATTGATGGATGGTCACAAAATTTTGTCTGTAGCATTCTTGGGGTAGTCTTATATAAAGTTTGCTTATATTAATTTGATTGGCCCCTTATGGGGGCAGCTAAAGCTAAAAATTAAAATACCTTTAAACGTCTATTTCTAAGAATTAATTGATGGATGATTACCAAACTTTGTCTGTAGCATTCTTGGGTAGTCTTTTATCAAGTTTGCTCATATTAATTTGATTGGCCCCTTTTAGGGGCCACTAAAGCTAAAATAAGAAATACCTTTTAATGTCTATTTCTACAGAACTAATTGATAGATGATCACCAAACTTTGTCTGTAGCATTCTTAGGTACTCTTTTATCAAGTTTGCTCAGAATATTAATTTGATTGGCCCCTTTTAGGGGCCACTAAAGCTAAAATAAGAAATACCTTTAAACGTCATTTCCTACTGAAATAATTGATAGATGATCAGTTCACTTTGTAGCAGTCTTAGGTTACAAGTCTTTTATCAAGTTTGCTCATATTAATTTGATTGGCCCCCTTTAAGCTAAAGCTTAAATGCTTCAGGTCATGGCAAATATTGACATTGGATAATTTCCAACACTGAAAAGCAGTTGTTTCTGGTGAGCAACTCAGGGCCATGATGGCCCTCTTGTTTGTTGTTGTTTTTTTATTCAGGAATTTTCATATAATTCACATTTTATTTGAATATGAAATTAAGTCATTTACATGTATGTAGTTGATGTCCTAAGGTAATTCCGCAAGTTTACACATTTTGTATGCTAATGATTTTACAAGTGTATTTTTTAAGATCCAAGCATACAATTATGAAAGCTTTCTGTAAACAAATATAAAAAGATTATTTATTTGATAAAAGATATTTACTGTGTAAGGATTATTTACCTAATAGCTTAAAAAGCTGCATCAAATGAATACAATTAGACAAGACAGTGTCAGGGCTGTTATTCATAGGAAGGAGAATACTAAGGCTTGCAGTATTTGCTAGAGGTGGAGAAAAAACTTGATGTAAATTGAATTTGAAGTGAAAACTGTATTATAGGGGATAGACATTTTCCTAGGGTGCAAACAGCAGTGTTCAGCTGGCTAATCTAATCATGGTCTGTACTGTTTGTTATTCAGTCAACACATATTTGAAATTTGCCCTGAAAGCTGTGGTTCGAGATCCATAGGTGATTTGGATTTCTTATAGGGTGAGGAAGATTTCAGCTAGCTTCCCAGGAAACGTCGTTGTTTTAATAGTGACTTTCTTAAATATTGGGACAAGAATTTCCCCATCAGTAAATTTTGGGAACGTTGACTTTATGACTATAAATGTGTGCTGTGTTAAACCAATTTAAACAGATTAAACAAACAATGAATATTTTGAAATTGCCTGAAACATAATGGTTTTGTTTCAGAATGATGATGGTTTTGACAGTTAACATGTTTTAGGTATGGGAATAAAAAAAATCAGATCAAATTTGAAATTGTAACTGTTCTTGTTTTTTTAATAATTTAAGTGTTCTTATAATATTTAAATTTATTTAAGTTTATAAATTGTAACTAAAATGGTTGAATGACTAGATATAATATCAAAATACAAGATAATTAGATTTTAGAGTTCCTTCACAGTGGTTACTGTTAGAAATACCATAACAAACGAATTTAACTATATATAAGTTCAAGGTCGGCGAGTGAATATCCTTGCTGAAAGAATGGTTTTAAAACACTTTTATTTAGAAAATGTAATTTGCTTGGGAAAACATTAATAATGTTTTAGGTATAACAATACAAAAATAAAAGTCATTATAAAATTTTGAAATTTCTGTAGAAATTTGATAAAAAAAAATTATTTTTGTTATTATTTTAATACGGGTTAAAATTTGAATGTTTTCTTGTAACTTTTTAATTATGATTATTTCATGTTATTTTAATTCTTAAAGGAATGGTTGAAATGACTGAGTTTAATGTAAAAAAGGAAAAGATTATCCTTAAATTTTAATTTGACGGGGTTCTCTTTAACGAACAACTGACCATAAACAAAACGCAGTTTAAAAAGGTAAGACTAGTATCCAAGAAGTTCAAGGTCGTGAATGTATCCCTAACCTAGCATTGAATGGCAACTGTTTCTTATTGACATCTGTGAAATTATGCTATAAAAAGTTTCAATTTGCTAGAAACATGAAATAATTGAATTATTAAATAAACTAATTCTATTCAAAATAAGAAGTTCCACTGTTATATTTAATAATATATATAAATTAAAGTTAATTGATTTTAAAGTACTAGTGTTATGGTTTAATAGTTTATTAGCTCGACTATACGAAGTATATGGAGAGCTGTCCTACTCGCCCCGGCGTCGGCGTCCGCGTCCAGATTTTAGATTAAAGTTTTGGTGCAGTAAAATGTTTTTCACTATAACTTTGTCATTTCTTAAGGTATCAACTTCAAACTTCAAATATATGTTCCTTATCATCAACCACATCTTATGTGACAAGGTTCATAACTCTAGCACCAATATTTTCAGATTTATCTCCCCTTGAACTTAGAATTTTCCTTAAAAAATACTATTTTTTTACTGATACTTCTTTATTTCTTTAGGGATAAACCTCATACTTCAAATATATGTACCTTATCATCATCCCCATCTTATGTGACAAGGTTCATAACTCTAGCACCAATATTTTCAGATTTATCTCCCCTTGAACTTAGAATTTTCCTCAAAAAAATACTATTTCTTACTGTTTCTTCTTTGTTTCTTAAGGGATCGACCTCATACTTCAAATATATTTACGTTATCATCATCCCCATCTTATGTGACAAGGTTCATAAACTCTAGCACCAATATTTTCAGATTTATCTCCCTTTGAACTTAGAATTTTTCCATAAAAAATATTATTTTTTACTATAACTTATTTATTTCTAAAGGGATCAACTTCATACTTCAAATATATTTACGTAATCATCATCCACATCTTATGTGACAAGGTTCATAACTCTAGCACCAATATTGCAAGAATTATCTCCCCATAAACTTAGATTTATTTACTAGAAAAATGTTATTTTTTATTTTAACTTTTATTTTTAAAGGTATCTACCTCAAACTTCAAATACTTATACCTTATCATTAATTACATTTTATGTGACAATGTTCATAACTCTTGAAGCAATATTTACAGATTAATCTCTCTTTGAGAAATATAATAACTTCTTTACTTTTTAAGGTATCTACTTCAAACTTCAAATATATATTTCTTATCATTACACAAATGTTGTGTGGCAAGATCCATAACTCTAGCATGACTATTTCTATAATTATTCCCCTTGATCTTGGAATTTATGTTAACAAATGTTATTTTTTTTACTATAACTTAATACGTAATTATACATAATTGATTTTTCTTTCATAGTTTTGTCCTCCTTACTGCGTCCAGTATTTTATTAGTCGAGCTTCGCTGTCTCCTGTGACAGCTCTTGTCTTGTAGCATTATTTCCATGGTAATATGTTTAATCATCTTTCATTGTTGATATTGTATGTATACATGACTTGTACATGTAGACATGAATTGAAAAAAAGGTTAATTGAGTATTATACACAAAATGTAGCATTTTATAAAGTATTGTGTGCAAGTTCTGATGTCTTACACTGTAAGCATTACATAAATTACTGGTACATGTACATGTATATATTGCTTTATTGTTGGTACATGTATATATTGCTTTATTGTTGGTACATGTATATATTGCTTTATTGTCTCATTTATTATTACAGTTAAAAGTACAGCTAAAACAGTGTTCAACAGCTGATGGAAGCAAAGGTAATAGATATTTATAAACCAGTAAAGTACTGTACTACTTTGTCACCATTGTTTATTTTCAAGGTTCATGAAAAAAATACATGTATATCTATACTATTTATGCTATATATTCAAGAAGTATGTGTAACACCAGGAAGTATCTGTTGATAAAATACAATGTAAACAATAGAAGAAAAGAAAACAATGTGACTCATTTCATAACAATAGAATAAGATGTATTGGCCTTTAATTTCTACAATAGAAGAAAATAAAAAGGATAGAACCCTTGTTTTACATTCCTTGGCATGTCTGTGCATATGTTCAGTCTGGTTTTTGTTGGGTTTTTTTTTTGGTGGGTCATTCTTTTTAGTATTCATGGTCAAATATTGAAATAGTTTTGCATGAAAGTTTAGCACATTGTGAAGATGTGTTGCAAGCACATGATACCCAGGTTTGTAGGTGAAAGGTCAAGGTCACACTTAAACGTTTTGCCACAAAAGTTCATTGATAGTAGTGTCCAGTCAACTACATCACTGTATTCTGAATTCATGGATGGATTTTAAAATGCTTTTGGTGTAAATGCATTGGGAATAATGGCAATATGTTCATCACATGAATTAAAGGTCAAGGTCACACATTTTTGTCTCTAAGATTTTTTTTATAGTAACAATGCCTTCATTGTTTGTCAAAAGTCATGATACCTTTACAGAGGGCCCAGGTTTGGGGTTATTTGTCTGTTTCCAATGAAAACTGTAAGTGTAACTCTCAGTCCAACAATATATAAATGATAATTATATGATTTCTGGTGAATTAAGATTGTTTTATTTCCTGAACATTGTAAATAATAAAATCTTTAAAATTTATTTAAGACCGGAAGAAAAAAATAGAATTATTAAAACAAATATAAAAATTGAGAAAAATTTACCTTATTGTATCAGAACTATAAAGTCTGTATATATTTTAAATTTGATTATATAACTTTCTTTACTAGTACAGTGTCATTAAATTGTAATAAATCACCAGTTGTAACCTGAAATTAGATATGAGGTTGAGAAATAAATACCAAGTTTTGTTTACCATCAGATCATTACATAAACATAAAAACTGTTATTATACAGTCTCAGTCATGCATGAATTAGTAGTGTTTTTACTTTAAGCATTTCATTTTTTAAGAGGAGGCAGATTATAAAACTAGGTTATTAAGTGCTAACTGAAGATGTAAAATTTAAAGGAGAGAAGTGTTTCAACTAACAGCTGATTCCTAAAGCTGCTTGTTAAAAAAAGTACTGGTCACTGCATAAATGTTTTATTTTTCTTCTCTCACAAAAGGCACTTTAAACACTATACATAACCTCACGTGCTTTTTTAGTCACTGCTGTTTGTTTTTATGCGACTTTTAAAAGCCATTAAATGATGTTTAGGTATTTAGATAGCAAAAAATACAAAACTTTTAGGACAAAAAAACAAAGCATAGTTGAGTATGATTAAATACAAAAAACAATTTGAGCAATAATTCTACAATTTTGTATACTTTCAGGTTTTAACTTGGATATCAAGGGAGTTAATCACAAATATCACTTCCAGGTAGATTTTACAGCACATGAGTTATGTTTCATGAGATTTGAAGAAATCCAAGACAATGTACATGAAACCTCGTGCATTGCCTGTCTTGATAGAAATTTCTATCCTTCCATTGTATACTCACGGTTGCTGATGCTGTTATACTCAGATCCAGGTAAGATAACTCTTGATAAAAATATTTTTTCCTTCACATTTTGGAGGAAAAAAACATAGACTGTACTTATTTGTTTGTATCAATGAAAAGGTTTCTAAGCAAGGATGCTGATTTTCAACCTTATAGTTTACAGTACATCTGTATTAGTAATCACTTATGTGTAATGTGAATTGCTTTAACACAGATTAGCAGATAGGTTATCTGAAATTGACAAATTCTGAATACAAAAAAGTGGTAGATTATCTAAACTTTAGCTGGTACTTTGGGTGCTTTTATTCCCAAGAAAATAACTTAAAAGAACAGTTTAATGAACCTATTTACTCAGAATTGAAGGGAAAGGAGATTAATCATACAAAATAAAGTGATAATATTCAAAATGCAGTTACATTGTATATTCAGTAAAATTACTTGATTTTAACATGAATATATTTTATGATTATGTCATCAGAAAAAAATGAAGATTATTAATCATTTTCCCCTATCATACTGCAACTTTAGATCTGGCTTAGGATTTTCATTTGTCTATTGTCAAAATTCAGTAAGCTAACAGATATTGGCTTCAATAATGCACTGGTTCTGCCAGTCTTTTAACTGGAAATTTAGTATTGCCTTAATAATCGTGCTGAAAGACACCAGTAGCCTTCTGTCAAACTTTAAAATGTAAATTCAGTATTGCCTTGAATACTGTGCTAAACGACACATGTGATTTTTAGCCACCCTTTAAACTGAAAAGTTGTATTTATGTTGCAGTAAATGTTGACTTGTGTTGCAGAAAATGTTGTGTTATTTTGCAGTAAATGTTTCTTATGTTGCAATAAGTGTTGTTGCAGAAAATGTTGTCTTGTGTTGCAGTAGTGTTGTCTTGTGTTGCAGTAATTGTTGTTGCAGAAAATGTTGACTTGTGTTGCAGTAAATTATTGTCTTATTTTGCAGTAAAATTTGTTGTCTTATGTTTTAATAAATGTTTATCCTATGTTGCAGAGAAATTGGAGAAGAGGCCAGTTGTATTAAGGTGCCATTTATACAGAGAGGTCTTTTAATCAAAACTGTCCTTGGTGCAAAGTGTTGCTTCTACAGATTCCTTTTGCAAAATATTCTTGTTTTCTTGCATATGCTGGAGTGCCATTTATATTGTTGTCCAGAGAGTCGTGTTGAAAAATATTCTATATACATGCTAGTAACACTCTCCGTAAACTCTGTGATGTCATCTACAGGAATATTGTCAGTGCAGGTAATTACAATAATCATTTTTGTACAATCCTAAGTCGTGTCTTGAAGATGCATTATGATAATTATTATGTTGTTGTCATCCATCACTCTGTCTTTAAATCATTTATTTCAGCAGGATAACTTGAAGTATTCCAGTGATTGTGTTTATATTTTGCATTTGAGTTTGTTATATAAAATTATCAGTTGAATTTCATAGGCAACAACTCATAAGTTTTAAAGGTTGTCAGTAATGGAGTTTATATTTGGTATGTACCTATATGTTACATCAAAACACAGGTTTGTGTCAATATTAGTATTTCCCTACAGTCAATTCATTATTGATATACCAGGTAGAGTAATGCCCTTTTTTATGCAAATTTTCTGTAGAATTATTTCATGCCTAGAGTTATGCAATGTGCCTTTTGAATGATTGATTATGTGTATGGATCTATTACTACTTACTGTTAAGTTCACAATCATAAGTATTTCAGTACATCCTTTCTATGCAAATTTGAAATAATTAATATTTGAAGTTCAGACAAAATGAGTTATTTGTGACCTCAAAAAAACACACATTTCTGAATATTTTTTCTTTCACATCATCATTCATGTGTGTTAAACATGGATTCGAGCCCTGCTAGGTCATTTTTACTCATATTACACCAGTACTGGTTTGTTCCAAGCAGAGGACTCTTATGTGGTTCTTACAAAATTTAATGAAAAACCTACAAGATTCCTTTTTTGATCATTCTTTTTAACATATACTGGACTATTTTTTTGTGTGTATTTCAGATGAGTTGAAGCACTGGCAAGTGTATGTAACACGATGTGGAGAAATGCCAGCGGGTGAAAAGGTGTTCCTATGTCTCACAAGGTCCGCCCTCATTGTCGTATATAATTACCATATTCTCCATTATCACCAGTACTTCTCCAGTCAAATCAGTGTAAAATGTACACCAGTCAACAATGATATAGAGTTTACTGTGAACGATAAAACATTGTTATCTGATAATAATGCCACAGACAGTAAGTTGACTTATATTTTTCATACAGAACATAGATGGTTCTACTAGGGTTCCTGCTTGTGCCTGAAATTATGCATGGAGGGGCACCTGGGGTCTTCCTCCACCAGTAAAGCTAGACAGTCGGCATATGACCTCTACTGTGTTAATGTGATTTAAAGCTGCATGCCCCGATGAGCTAATAAATTTCCAGAAAATCAACTTTGAGAAAAATGTACTGAGATTTATAGAAAAGTGAAAGTAATCATAATTAAGTAATGATATACCTGTTACATGTATATGCAATGAATAACTGATTTGGCAGTGTTTATCACTATATTTCTACTGCTTGACTTATACAGTAAGGGCTATTTTTGCACATCTTAACTTTTATTTGGTAATTAATACTTGATGCTTTTACTTGATTTTACTTCTTACTAGTTGAAGTTACTACATTTTTAAAATTTTTATGAACATTAGCATAAATCTGGAGGCAAAATTAGCATGAATCTGGAGGCAAAATTAGCATGAATCTGGAGACATGCTGCTTTAAATTAAGTAAATCCTAACCTAAAAAAATGGCTAATGGCTATTTTGGTATCTGCATGTACCAGAAATAATATACAGTGGATTATATGAGATCTTTCTCTTACATATATTTATATGTATATTTATATTGCAGAAAATAAATTATTCTATAACAAAATATTATTATTCATTATATAAATTAATGTTCAAATAAAATCACTAAGAAATAATCAACTTTTTTTTTTTCAAGTATATATTTTATAAGAATATCAAAATGATACTTTTCTATTGTTTTTATCAATATTTGAAAATCTTGGAAAATTGGGCTATTGTAGACCAATCCACTTTAATGCATAGGTACTGACAAAGGTATGTGTTGTTTGTTATGACTTAAGATTTTCTTTTTTCAGATTTCTTATTGTTTAAGACATTTAGCTTTAAAACAACCCAGTGTGAGAACATTGAGAAGAGTTTTAAAAACCTGGTGCGTAAATCTTTGTTATACCCCCATGGACCGAGTGCGCATTTCAATATTCGGCATAGTGAATTAAGTGCGTCTGCTGCACCTGGAACTACTTCAGACAATGTGATGATAATACCTCATCATAAATTCTGGAATGATAATAATAATTCTGGTTCGACATCTGGTAGTAATGGATGGCCTTCAAGTGGTAAAATGGACAATGTTGTGACCTTCCATAAACCGACACCTCATAAACCGGTAGAAGAGTTATTGCCGCATCGGACCGCAAGTAGTAACGGTAGCATTCCCGGCTTTGACAATTCAGCAGGTGTGTTTGAGTCACATGCTGAAGTAAACAGATTGGCTGAAAGGCCAAAGGATTTGACTTTACATAAGAGAGGTTCAGGGGGAAATGTAGTAGACGGCAATATAAAGGAAGCTGTTTCTACTTCAGATAACGTACATGTTGAAGATAGTCATATGTTAAAAACAACTGAAGAAAAACACATATCAGAGACCAGTCCAAAACAACATACATTGTCAAAAGAAATTTTTGACTCAGACCCTGGCCACTTTAGCAGTCACCATGGGCATTCCCCTTTAAAAGCAGTTGCAAGTGGAAGCAACTTTGACCAACTTTCACCGGAGGAATTAGGTTTGGATAACTTAAGTTATTTTCCAGACCATGAGGAGACAGCTCTATCATTTTTCTCTGTTGAAGAGGCAGACAGTCTTCCACCCCCACCCCCTTGCACCTCATTCTCACACCCATTTGCTGAATTTCACCACAGACCTGCTCCACAGCCTTCCCTAGATTCAATAGTTGAAGACAAGTTAGCAGTTCTTGAAGATTTAGAGATTCCAGAACGTCAGCCTCTTCGCGGCCTTTTACGGTCACACAGTTATCAGAACTTGAATGAGGAGGAAGATGGTGCGGTGCACCAGTACATAAATATTGCACAAGAAATGAGTTCAAGAAACAGCGTACATGATGACTTTCCATACTACAGATTTTATTACAACGTAGGAATGATACGCGTCATGTACGCTAGAATGAGCAAGAAATTGAAGCGTCGGAATCGTCTGAGCAAAGAAATGAGAAGCATAGATTTTAACAAGCTAGAAGATCATGAACGATGGTATGATAGGGACTTCAAGATCAGGAGTAAAGATCTGAAATTCTGCAAGTAAGTAAAGCATTATCTTGAATAGAATGCTTCAGTTATTAACAGTGGTTTCTTAATTGGCTTGTGTCAATTTTTAGTTCAAGTATTAAAAGAATAGTTGATTGAAATTAATCATTTTGGCGTCAGTGTTTGATTAAAGTTTTACAACTTCTTGTACAACATCATATTACAACAACCACTGAAGATTTTTATCTTGTAATTTCAAGCAGTCATTTGAGTTAAAGTTTGTATGGAAATGATGAAAGTTCATTTAATTAAATAAATAATAGTCAAATAATACAATGTCTGTTGGCTACTTTGTCAGTGCAACCACGTTTATTAAGCAACCTTTCTCATCAACAGCTACCTTTATTTCGCCGCAATCATTTTCTCTCAATATCGTAAATAAGCAACTTTTGCTTAACATGACCATCGACCGACTTTTGCTTAATGTGACCATCGACCACTGTGCTAAAACATAATTTATATTCTTATCAACTAATGTGGCATGCATCAAACAACAGTATGAATATTCTTCTTGAACCAATTTAAGCTGTGTAATCATTTTATTACTTGCAGTTTGTACAATGTATCAGCTAAGGAAAGTAAATTCCAGTATGATTATATAAAACCAGATGTTGATGATGACCCATACTGGACAAACAATGAGGTAAGTTTAAATATTTTGTGGCAATCGTCAAAGGCTTGTTTCATCAGTATATCAGTATATAATCAGGCCCAGTTGCTCTTTCCTGTAGTTTGACGATATATGTTTAGATGTTTCTATTATTTTGATTGGATACAATCAATAAGTATGAAATTTAAGCTAAACTTGAAGCTGGAAAAGGTTCAAACAGAAGCTGGACAAGTCCTAACTCTAAGATATGAAAATTTAGGGATAATATGGAAATTTAGGGATTATATGAAAATTTTAGTATTATATTTTCTTGAATTTATTTCTCTAGTTGTGTTTCACGATACAAAAGAACTTGGAGGAGACCCCGGGAGACAGACATCTGTTTAAAGACTTACAGAATGAGTTAGATGTAACATCAGATCAACTAATGCAGCTAGAAGTTATGCTTAGTCTTCTACCAGCAGAGAATGACTGGAAAATTCTGGCGGAACACATTGGTGAGGTGTTTTCTTTTTGTCCAATGAAATTTTTTTTCCATAATGTCAAACAGGCAATAAAAGATTTTCATTTGCATAACGAAAGGGATATACCATAATTATAGGATGCAGACTGGGTCAGTGGTTCTACAAAAGCCTCTGGTGCAGGGGTCCCAACCTGCCTGACTCTTGCCTTTTTGCCAGCCGACAAGTAGATTTTCAAGTAGTGTTTCTCCACAGAGAAGAGTATACAAGGCATAAATTTTAAACCTCAGTCACACTAGAGCTTATGATTACTTGCGACTACCGACGACGTGTAAAACCCACGATCATCGGCGATTGTCTGCGACCAAGCCCTCTTTGAACAGATAAATTTACTTCTGCGATTATAGTACGACCAATCATCATTGACAATCACACGACAGGTCATCAGCAAACGTACGATGATATCAAGATTACTTATGACTACCCGTGACCTGTTATGCGATCACCTACAACTTGTCGTACGACCATCACACGATTACTAAAGACTACTCAAGATCATCAGTATCTAGTGGCAATTTGTAAAGACTGTCGTAAGATTGTCGCACTTTCAAGCGACGATCATGCGACAGCCTAAGACCTGATAAGATCACTAGCAACCTGTTTGATCGCAGAGAGGTTTTTGTGCAAGCTCAAAAACCTCTCTACAACTGATATTGGTCGTGGGACCTTAATAAGATAACCTTCGACTATCGAAGATCACCGATGACCGTCGTAAGACCTTTTAAAGATTGTCCGCGACCAGTGGTCACTGGTGATCGTGAACTGGTCTTAACTGGTCGTAAACTCTAATGTGACTGGGGCTTTATACATCATCTCCCACAGCATGAATAAATTGATAGGATGCTTTTTCACCTCAAGCTCCAATTTTTTAAGAAAAAAAGTTGGCTTCGGCGTTGGTTATTTGTTTTGTTAAGGTCCATTTTCTCAGGATAAAGGCTATTCACTTCAAACTTGCTATACATGTTCAATGTCTTAAAAGGACACCATTTCAAACATGCAGATAATCCTGAAATTATTTTTTTCTGAAGTTATGCATCTTTTTTGCAACTTAGATTTTTAGCCCATTTTCTCAGAAACTGTCAAATTTATTCACTTCATACCTAATATACATAAAAAAAATATGATAAGATAGAGATTAAAAGCAAGCAAAAAAAACGGTTAGGACATATCTATAGTTGTAGTTTCATTATGTGTAATCTCATTATGTGTAATCTCTGTGTGCAAGAAATATTGATTTATGCATATACTTATATGTTTATGTACTTATATTTTTATTAGGTTTGAGCAGCAGTGACATCACTATCATCGAACATTTCTGCTATACTTATCGTGCATTGGCCGCACACATTGTGCTAACACACTGGATTTTGAGAGATAGGCACCACTTGTTACAGCATGGTCAACCAACTTCAAACCCACAGTGTACGTGGGACAACCTTGTGCAATTTTTAGACGCTCACGGTCGAGATGATATAACAGTTATGCTTAGAAGTAAACATTATAATGAAAACGAGCACGTAGAGGAAAGTACACATTTCTGAAAATATCACATATTGTAGAATGATGATCACTTTCATTTCATTAGAATAACCATTTTGAGGAACCGGTGTATTTCTGAAACAAGCATAATTTTGTTATTGTCATTCCACTATCGTGTAGTGAGATTAGTCTAGCTTACTCAGCTCTGTTGACAGTTTTTGTTGACATGACATCTATTTTTTTACCTGCATTTAGAGTATTATAGCTTTGTTAGTAATGCCTGCTGGAAAGAATTTTAGCTTATGTGACATGTAGTTTTATCATATTTCAGTTTTGTTGTTAAGAAAGCTCTAAGCTTTCTAATACATTTTTTGAATAGAGAAAAACCGAATTCATAAAGAAAGCCGTACATGGCAAAATTGAAAATGTTGCAGGCTCGGTTTGATTGAACTGTAGCTGTAATTAGAAGCTCAGTAACCCTCCACAACCCTTGCACCGACTTTAGCAGAATTTAAATTTTAACTTAAACTGGTAAAATTATAATTTTGAAACATCAGCAGATGTGTTCATACGGCGGTTATCATGAAACCATCAATGTAATAGGTGAATGTCATATTCATTTACAATGCCCAAATGTTAAATTTCTATGTTGAAAATCACAATACTGATCTTTTAAAATTTTCTTTGTCTATAAATTTGCTAAGATTTTTGTAGCATGAAAGTTGCTATTCTCTTTAACTATATCGATATATTTCAAACAATAATTGAAAATAGTTTGATACAAAATGTAAAGATTTAAAATTTCTATTGATTTCAAACTTGTGCTGTTTCATGAACTTTATTATACACATTGTATACTCCATAATTGATAGAATAAGAAACTGTTATCATTATACATGTACAGGTATTTGCTCAATTTTATATGCCATTTTATCCTGCTACTGTCTATATTATCAGCTGGATAAAGCCTTGCCGGATAAACTTATCTATCTCCAGTCATTATGTCTAAGATGACGTCACAAAAAGTCATGGTTAGCAGCAAAACAAAACTACATATAGATGATTTTACCGGGGAAAAGTAAGACTGAAATCATTTTAATAATCTTAAAACTTTATCAAAAGCAGGATAAATTAAATACATGGTTAATGTCGGGATGGAGAAGGTTTATCGCTAAAGCTCGCCAAGATACACTTGCTTGCTCACCGGATAAACCTTCTCCATCCCAACATCAACCATGTACTTTCTATTTTATATGCCTTTTTGAAAAAATGGGTCATATGATGAGACCCCTCAGGGTGACAAAAAAGACATAGTGTCACATGCGTGAACAAGATCAAAGGTCAAGGTCATCCTAAGGGGTCAGATGAAAACACTTGTCAATTAAGTGAAACTTCTACATGCATTGAGTGATTGTTATATAAATTGACACATGTTGTGGGGGATAGTGTTGTAGGCAAAATTCAGGTCCATGTAGAAAAGGTCAAGGTCACATGAATTAAGAGGTGCAAGATCAGGTCTTAAATTATAAACAACGATTTACAAGTTAATTTCTATCAATTTAGAATAAGTTACTGTTTATAGGAAGGAACACGTGTATTTTATATTGTTACAGTATATAAGATTTGAAGTTTTTACTAATTTAACTACATGTTTATGAAATTTCATCACTTACTCAGTTGTAAATTTGTGAATTTCATGTGTGTAATTCATTATTGAATCACAATTTAATTATTATTACAGCACACTACATGTATCTCAGAATTATTCATAAAGGATCAGGGAATTTTGATAATTGTTTTACAGAATGTACTTGAGTGTTTACATGTATTTTTAACTAATTTGCATCTCATTTCTGTTAGTACTTAATTAACAATTAAATCTCATTATTTAAAGATATCACTGATATTGCTACTTTACCTAGAAAATGATAATATCACATCTTATTATTAATGTCAGATGTGGTAATTGAATGTTGTCACAGTAACTGGGACCTTATTGTTAAAATACACCGGGTGGTGATTCACTGTAGTTTTAAACACTACTTATATTGATTAATTTAAGCCATTAACATGACTGTAACCCACATTAGGAGTTAATTAATCTTTTATCTTGCAATTGTTTGTTTAAGGGTTGAAATATTAATATGTTAAAGTTAAGCATATAGCATTATTAAGGTTGGTCTGAATGAACAGATTTGCAGGTTAACTTGTCCCTTTATTAGTTTCATAAGACTGTTATAATTCAAAATACATAAGACCGTTTTCTGTTCATATAATGCTAAAATAATATCTTATATACACTTGCACCTAAAGTTTGATCCATATCAGTTTATAAAATTTATATGAAAAATCGGTATACAACTCATTTATGAAGGCACTAGAATAATGTAATTTTAAAATGACAAGAATGATTAATCGAGCACTATGTAAACACAATACAATCCAGTCTGACAAGTAAGTGTTAATTGTTGAAAACTTGATAAAATAACCGTTTTCTCTTCTTATTTCTTTTGTTTATTAATTTCTATATCTAAGCACTATTAAGGTGCGAAATCGAACAGTGTTATACGAAAATCGGCACTGGAAGTAATCTTCGCTTGAAAAAATATCATTAGTGATCTTCCTTATTATGTCTTAGAATCAAAATGATATTGGTCTGAGCATTGTTTATTAGCTATTTAACACCGGTTTTGTTGTTTTGATGCGAAAAATTAACCACTTGGGGCCTTCGTGGGCAATTCCTACGCATCAAAACTCCAAACTGGTGTGAAGTAGCCCATAAACACCACTCAGACCAGTATTATTTCTTAATTTCTTAACTGTCACCACAATTATTTTATTGACTATTGCATAATATATTTTTTCTTTTAGAGAAATTTTTACTTAATATAGAATCTCATGTTTGTTTTATCTTAATTGTTGTGTAAGCATAAGGTTGTTTATATGTATATACACAATCATGTATATTTGTTCTTAATTAGATTTTGATTTAAAACTATAGAACCGTATTTTATTATGTTCTATTTTGACTATTTTCTTCTACATATTATTCATTTACATTTGCCATAAGTGACTAATACTCATTGCATTTGAATAATCAAATCTGTTACATCTGAAGAAGGGTAGTAACCCTGTATCTCATTTCCACATCTAAAATACTGGGTTCATACCCCAGACATTAACACACCTAAATATGATTATAGAATATCATCTTCAATTAATACTCAGTATATATATGTGTATATAGTTAAACAATTATTTACAGAAAAAGTCTTATAATTAGACCATTTTGTCCCTAAAAAAATTATGTACATGTGCCATGATAAGTTTAGAAATTCTATGATGCTTGCAATATATTCCAGATCTTTGAAAATCTGGAATATTGTTATGAATCTCATTTACTGAAGTACAGTATTTTATGTGTTAAGAAAACATGGAAATTAGATAATATATATTTTATATTGTTATATTTTAAAACAGTTTAAATTTTGAGAACTAAATGTATATTTGAGCCGTGTCACGACAAAACCAACATAGTGAGTTTGCGACCAGCATGGATCTAGACCAGCCTGTGCATCCGCGCAGTCCGGTCAGGATCCTTACTGTTTGCTTACCAACTCTATTACAAGTGGAGAAACTGACAGCGAACAACATGGATCCTGATCAGACTGCGCAGATGCGCAGGCTTGTCTGGATCCATGCTGGTCGCAAACTTATTGGTTTTGTCGTGAAGCGCTCATTTTATATTTCAAGTATATAGTTAAAAGAGAACTAAATGTACCATCAATTAAAGAAGAAAGGTGACTTGATTACAAATGATGTGTACAAATACATGTATATGACATAAAGTTTGCACTCTATATGGTTATTGCCAATGTTACAATGATTAGAATATTAATAGCCTAATGATGTGTAAGGGTATTTGTGCTGATAGGCAGGGTATTGCAGTACTTCATAATTTATTATGTATGTTTAAATTTGTAGTTTCTTCATGTTTTACAGAAGTGTTTTGTCACAACTTTACCTGAACTAGTAAATACAATGAAAATGAACAGATTATATCTCTTTTACTTTCTTATCAAGTATAAGAGAAGCTGTGATCATTTTATTTTTGCAATTTGCTCAACTCTATTTATGCTTTTAATTTTAAATTACATCAATTATGTATATAAAAGAAAAGAAGAAAAGTTTTGTTTTTTTCAGAAGATGTATGGTTTTATCTACAAGGCTCATAAATAAATATATTATGCTGATATTAAAAGTAAAATTCAAACTTAAAATAACATGCTGAATGCATAGTGTACAAATTGTAATGAATTAGATTAATTTCTGATTTCTGTCGTAAAATAATCAATGTTGTTATTGAAAGTGTTATCTGCTTTCAAATTGGTGTATATCTCTTACTAGTTTAAATTCTGATATCTATTACTAAATAATGTAGTAAAAAGTTCTTGGGATCTTATAGATGACCATTATAGTTTGAAATTCAGAATTTAACTCAGTTAAAGTGAATTGATATAGAATGGAATGTCTGTAATACAATAGATAATTACATTGATAGTATTTCGTATCACACATAACAACAAACTATTAAAGAATTTAACATGAATATTGTTGGTAACCGTGAGTTGCATAATCAGAAATAACATATATTTTCTTACGTTAACAATTATAGTGTTTGACACATTATGGCCAGTTATGTGTCAATATGCTGTTAAACCCAAACAAACAAAGCAAACATAATTGTATTAGCATATAATAAATTGTTCTGGAACAAAATATTATTCTTTATTGTTAATTAATACTAAATCATATATAGTACTTTATCAACATTTTTTTTTTAAAGCAATATTTTATGAAAATTATCTAAGTGATACATTTCTACATTTTTTTTTTTATCAATATTTGAAATATTTTTGGAAAAAAATGTGCCCATTTTAGACCACTCCACTTAAAATTGTACTTGATCACAATAAAAATCCAATAATTTATGTAAAGCTAGTGCTCAATTTAAGCTTGGTTGTAAAGTCTATATCCGTATGACTGTGATAGTTAAATGTTGTTTTATCTTCGGAGATGACAGACTTGTCTTCCATACAATTTTTATTAGTATACATGTATTAGTGTCATGTAATGTCATTGTAAGTGGTGCAGTCAATGCATTCCCCTGTTATGTTCTATGTTTGTTATTGTTTCATGTTTTTTGCATTAAGTTCTTTATGTACTTGTTAAACAGATATTTCTGTTGTTTTAACATAAAGATTGCCACTGTCAAGAATATTAACAACTTGCATAGATACAGTTTACATTATACTTTAACCTCATAATGGTGGAGGGGGCTATACTGGAATCACTCTCATGATGATAGGTCCGTCCCTTTCCATCGTGTTTACTCTATAAATAGTATACCTCTCAAAGGATTTCCTTCAAACTTAGCTTAAATGTTTACCACAAGAAGGTAATAGGCAGAATTCATGCCATCGCTGTTCCATTTCAACATAAAGGTCCAAGGCCAAATTTCAGACAATTTTGTGTCTGCATTATAAATCCTATACCCCTTAAGGATTTTCTTCAAACTTGCCTCAAGTGTTCACCTCAACAAGGCAATGTGCAAAATCTATGCCACTGCTGTTGGGTTTC